GGTCGGCTGGGGTTGCGCCGGAGAGCTGCTGCCTGCCTGGTTCGTCGCAATGAAGCGCTGCAGTTTCAACCCACTTCTTTCCACGCATCTGGACCGACTCGCGGATTTGGACTGGATTTGGCTGGGAACACCAACTATTTATTCAAAAAAAAAAAAAAAGTTCCCGGGTGTGTGGGTGTGTATGTGTGTGTGTGCGCGCGCGCCTGCCACCCCCCTCCTCCTAGGATTCCCTCACGTTGGGTTTTAGTATTAGAACAGTTGCTTTCAACCTGTGCCCCACGGGCCCCACGCACTACGTCCAAGGGGTCCATGCACAAACGTCGTGTGCCCCCGGAGGCTGGGGGGGCATGGAGACTGCCCACAGGCGGTGTCGGCAGCTGGGGGTAAGAGGGTGGCGAGTGCTGACTAGTGGTCGGCGACCACCCGCAAATGCTACCAGTGGTGTCGGCAGTGGCCAGCGGGGATCGGGGACCGCCCACAAACACCTCCGGCAGTGTCAGCAGCGAGGGAGGGGGTGGCAAGCAGTGACCACCCACAGGCGCTGCCAGCAGGTGGTGCACCGCCAATCTCTCAGGGGGTGCACATGCACCCACGTGTACCCCCTGCATGTCGCCACTGGGTCCATGAAAGATGACTAAGATCAATCAAAAGTATGTGAATATCCACACTTACAATTCAAAGGGTCCGTACCTCTGTTCAAAAATGTTTAGGGGTCCAGAAATAAAAAAAAGGTTGAAAAGCACTGGTTTAGAAAATACTGAATTCAGAAACGACCCTGAAACAGCGATGAGAAAAACATTGTGTAGGACGGCATCCCCTCATGGGGTCGTAAAGAGGACACACAATGCAGGTTCTTAACACAGGATCAAACATCATGGTCCAGTCTGCAGGCAGTAATGTATAGTCCTAGACAACATGGAATAAGAAGGGTCAGGCAGCTTGTAGTAAAAATTCCTCTTTAATCGCTACTTTGCGCATAGCCAATAGACACAGCTTGATTGCTGATTACTGTAGTTGCTGGTTGCAACACTTGTGTTTCGATTGTCAGGCCACCTCTGCATTTTCCATTAGGGTGACCCGTTCTTAAGATTTTGCACTTCCACTTGTTTGCAGCTGACATTTGATCTGCGATAAGGAGAATCCCTTCAGTAGAGGGAGGTTCTTTCCTTTGCCCTGTGAAATGCCATTTAGATTTCCCTGAGACAGAGTGAAAAGCCAAGCTTTTCCCCTTTTTCTGTTTCCATTCCTTAGGAAAATTTTTACAGCCTGTCACGATGACTGAGGTTTCCAAGGCCAGATTCATGTTACCATCAAAGCAGCAGAAGACATTGCACTGAGAACCCTGGGAAGCTGGCAGAACACAAGTCACTGGAAGGAGTTGAGGGAGCTTGACTTCTTACAGCTTTCTTACCTCCTCAGCCTGGCAATGGTATCCTGGCAATAGGAACTTCCCCATGTGTCAGGGAGGCAAAAGAATAAGCCAAGTTGAACTGCTCTTAAAAATCCCTGCCAGAATTAGTTTATGGCACTTTCACCCTCCCCTGCATAGGCACCGCAGGAAGCCGGAACCCACCCAACTCAGGGAACTGGGGGAAAGGGAACTGAGCTAGGCTTCTCCTGGACACTCCCCAGACTCAGTGTGTGGTCCTAGGAGTCCTATCTCTCCACATGCTAAGGGAAGAGAAAGAACTGTAACAGACTCTTCCCAACTAGCCTCTGGACTCAGTACATAGTCTCAACAAACAGCCTGTTCTCTCACATTGGACTCAAACCATTCTGCTGCTAGTTATTTATAGTAGTTATTCCTCCTGGTTCGGTCAGAGTAGGAGGTATGGTTGTGCTGAAGTTCAAGGTTCAACCCTTCCAGAGAATGTATGATTACATGCCTTGTCTTTTAGAAGCCTGGAGAATTGTATATAAAACATGTTAAAAGAGCATCATATAGGTAGTAAAATCAAGTTTTCAAAAGTTACTTCAAGATTACAGTTGCCCATACAACTTTAAGGGTTGCAGCTGATAATGAGCAGGTGGCAGGTGGCATGTGGCAGACTTCGATACTGAAAGCTGCAAGCTTTCAATATCATGAGACGCTTAAAATAATACGTTAGGCATTCTCTAGGTTCATTTAAACAAAAATAGTGAGACGCAGGATAACATTACAGGAGTTGGCAACAGTGAAATGTACAGGTCGATCTCATTCATTTCCAGTCTCATACTGGTAATTAACAGTTGGGTCCAGAGGTCCACTCCCAAGTCAATGCTTTTCATACAATCCCACAAGAACACTTTTGCTGAATTTTCTGGGATCTCTGACCCCTTTTCTATAGCATTTTCAATTGAGGAGGAATAGTTTTCTGTTCTATTATATTAGAAAAGAGATACCCACCTGGTAACCAAGAGGGCTGTTAGAAATCATTTTGACAGGGACACAGTAAGTCTGTGCATAGTTCTGCTTTATATTCTTTTAACAACAATTTTATTCTGCCTTTCATTCTCAAGGTAAAACCTCTGTATATGGTAAAGGAACCTACTGAATTTGATCTGGTGACAACAAAGGGTTTACACTGCTTTTTTATGGTGTCATATTTTCTCAGATAAGCACTGTGAGAAAAGGGCAAATGACTACTTTCTGAGTTATTTGTCACGCAAGAAATAATTCAGTGACATCAGGAGCTCTCTTGGTTTTGT